GGTTTATCGGGCGGCCGATTTTGGTTAAAATATTCAAAATGGCGGACGGAGGAGCAGCGAGTCAAGATGAGAGTTCGGCGGCGGCGGTGGCGGCAGCGGCAGGTAATCATTACTGCATTTTACATATTCATATTCATACTCGCACACGCGGCCCCCCCGCCGCCCGCCCGCCCCGCTTAGCATAATTTATTAGTACTCAGGATTATTATAATTAACGGCGCAGGAGGGAGCGGGGGGGGGAAGCAGGCAGGCAGCCTCCCCGTGCGGGGACACACACACACGCGCGCTCCCTCCCTCACCCGCCCGCCCGCTCCTTCGCGCGGGGCCGCACTCGCGGCCGCCCGCAGCCGGGGCAGCGCCGGGGGGCGGCGGGGTCCGGGGGGGGGTGAGAAGAGCCGGGAGAGGGGGGGCTCTGCGTGTTGGCGGCCGGGGGGGCTGCGGGGCCGGGGGGAGGTAGCGGGGCGGGGGGGGGGAGCCGGGGAGAGAGCCGCTCCGTGGGGCCGGCGGTGGGAGAAGGGCTGGCGTTCTGCTGCCCACCCTCCCCCCCCCCCTCCCCACGGCTCCCAGCCGGGGTTATTTCCCCCAGAGCCCGCGGGCACGGGGTGGATGGGTGCGGATGGCCTCCGGGAGGGAGGGGGAAGAGGAGGGAGGGCGGGAGCGCGGCGTGGCTTTATCTATAAAGCCCCCCCCCTCCGTTCCCGCGAGGTGTGGGGGTCAGCGCTCTTCTGGGCTGGGGGGTGCGCGGAGTTTCCCCTTCTTCCCCCTCCGCCTTTGCCCCCCCCGCCCCCAGCAGGGCAGCCCCCCGGGTACGGCCCCGCCGCCCCTTCCCCTGGCCCCGTGCGGGGGGCTCAGCGCGGTGCCGGCAGCGCGGGGTGCGGGCCCGGCTCCCGCTCCCCCTCCTCTCCCTTCTCCCTCTCATTTGAATAATGTCTAATTCGGGGAGGTTTATATTATTGAAATGGCCGCCCGGCTTTCCCCGCCTCTCATGTTTAGTAATTCAGACCTTTAATAACAGCCACTCAGAGCCCAACGCCGTGTTTATATTTTACATTCGCCCCATGTGCTTTTGTGGTTCAATGTGATTCTTCTTTCTCGCTCTCTCTCGCTTTTTTTAAAATTTCTTGGCAACCCACAGGGCCCCGAGATCAAACCCAGGCGGTGTGAGGAGAGGAGGGGGAGCTGGGCCCTGGCTGCTCTGGCAGCGCCTAGGCCTCACTCTGCTGCTTGATTTATTTACTAATAACCAAAATGACCCCCTCCCCCCTTATCCCCCCCCCAACCTCCACTCCACCCCTGCCAGCAAAAACAAAACCCTCCTGGGGCCTGAGCAGCATCAGATCTGCTCGTAGATTCTCAAACACTCATGTCTTTTAAATAAGGAGCTTATTTTTAATTTATAGCAACTCAGGACTGTAAAGCTGTGCCTTTCATATTTGCTTTGCAGAGGCTTGGGCATTTTTGGTCCCTTTGTCCTTGCTTCTTTTCCTTAAAGGAGAGTTGCTCCTAATTTACGTTTCCTGGCACTGGGAGAGCTGCTGAAGGCACACTCAAAATCCAAACAGCTCTCCTCCTCCCTCTGAACACAAACAGTGTTGAATACATTGAGGATAATCTTATTCGCTTTCTTTTTGCTTGGTGTGGATGCAGTTTAGCGGTGCTGTGTGTCAGATGCTTTTGTCGTTGCTTGTATCTGACTATTCTGGTTGGCTGTGGGTTTTTTCTTTTCCCATTTAGATTTGGCTTTCAAGAAAAAAAGATGCCACTAGGCAGCGCAGGGCCTAGGAAGGAAGATAAGTTTGCAGCGATTGTGGCGTAAGACCACCGAGTGGAAATTGAAATTAATCCTCTTAAATTGTCTGCAGTAATTCGGCGTTAAACCAGATATGAGGCTACTTAGAAAGAAAACAAATGGACTGCTTTATTAGAAAGAGGCGGCAACTTTAAAAAAAAAAATTCATGTATGCAGGCACGGGTCTTGATAAAGCTGTCCAGGTTTTCATTAGTGACCATTGTTTTCAGCCCGTGGAGAAAAGGACCTAGCAGCAGGGCTCTTCCCAGTAACTGCACCCATTAGCATGTAAACATCTCTGAAACGCTGTGAGAAGAGAGTTCCTATGCAAGTGCGGTCAGTCTGTTTTGCAGTTGGCTTCTAAATTTAATTTCTCTCCAAATACTACGCTGAAGCTAATGAAAAGCGTTTGGGTTTACAAAAATAACGGCTTGGGTTATTTATCCTTTTTGCTTCACCCTTGGTGAAGACAGGCCTTGAATACTAGAGGGAAAAAAAAAAGAATCAGTGGAAGCGGTAATGAGACTGTTGAGGTGACTGACTGTTTCACAGCCCAACAGCACCGGGGCTGGCTGGACAAAAAGCCGTAATATGATTTCATGCCTTAAATAGCATATGTTTTTGCACTCGCTTCGCGAGATGTGGTCAAGCCGATGATGTCATTGGCCAGAGGACAAGGTGCAGTTAATTTGATTTATTGACCTGGGGTGAGGTGTAGCACTGAAACCTTCTCATAGGGAAACCATTTATCTGAGGACAATTTCCTTTATAGCAGCAATTTAACCACTGCTGAGACTGTAGATATTTTATCCGGGATGATAAAAATGTACATTGCGTCTTGCAAACAAAATTTCTTTGTCCCTGACGTTTTAGTAATTTTTATAGAACGGAACACTGGACAGTGGCCTTGTGCAGCCTTATGGCTGCACTGGGGTTTGTGGCTCTGTATTCAGTTATTTACATGACAAAGTAGAAATGCATTTCTGTCAAACATATCGTGAGTCCGTGTTGCAGCTCAAAATTGTACTGGAATATCCAGTTTGATGCAGATAGAAATGTCTTTGGCAATGAAGCCTGCGGCAGTGTGTGAGCGGGAAGTCTCCTTTCTGAAACCCTGGCCTCGTCTTTGCTTTTTGGAAGGTGCTAGGACTAATGCTGGGCTATTATTTCTCAGTCCTGAGCAAGGACTTCTGTACTTTACTACCGATGGGTGTCAGATTCTGTCTGCCAGTGGTGAGAGAATAAAAGAAATGATTTTTTTTTTCCTTCCTCATGGACTGCCTGGCTGCAGTGAGGGTGAGTGGTTGCACTGCTGTTCTGGTGCTTCTGAACTATTGCAAGAGGGTTATGTTCTGGTATTTTGCTGTCTTCTGAACAGCTGTTCTCAGGGACAGAATCAAGAAGGCTTATCCTCCCTGTTGAGCGGTTGTACAGTCTGGTTGCCTTTGCTCAGTTATCAAGATGGCACTGCCTTGCCCCCCCCCCCCCCCCCCCCCCCCCCCCCCCCCCCGAACCCCTTCCCACCCACAACCCCTCTCAAATTGACCAAAACTTTCAGTCCAGCATCTGGTTGGATGAAAGATTTGCCTGTGTTATTACCCGTGAAGACCAGAATTGGGAAGATGTATGTCAGTATGGTAACACTATCAACTATAGGAGCTGGGGGTTATTCCTCCCTTCCTCAAAGGAAACGGAGAGAACCTGAGCTTCCCACCCTGTCATCTTAAGAGGAAAAAATCTCAGATTTGCTGTCACTAACAATTTCTCAAAGATTAGCCCACAGTAATAATTCAAGCAAGTAAGTGTTACACTGACTTCCTGATGCTGAATGTGAATAGCTTCTGGATGCAGTGATGATGAGATGTGGAGCTGCCTCAGTTGACGGAATCAGTGAGGTAACCTTCAGCTCCATCTGTCTTTTAAATCTGTGAAGCACCGACAGATTCTCTGTTAGAAGTCTCTTAGGCTGTGTTGTTCCTACTTCTGGTCAATCCTAATAATACCCTGAAAAATGAGATCTTGACTGTCATTGTCACCTAAATAATTGTTGTCAAAGTTCAAGTGGTAAATCCGTATTCAATGCGGCACCTTTTGGCTGTTTTCATTATGTTCAAATATGCAAAGATGCAAAGAATTTTGAGGTATATGTTTTGTCCCTCCTGTCAAGAATGCTTTTGTTTGATTGATCTGCCATCCTGCTTTTTTTTTTTTCTATTAAATAAATAGCATTTGTCTCTTCCAGAGACACATTTGTTTTCTCTCTTGATTCTCTGGATAAAATTGCAGTAGTTGTTTGTGCTATGCCATAATTTATTCATTTGCTTTCATCAAATTTTGGCTCTCTTGGAGTCCAGGACTTCAGTCTGATTGCAGCATGTTTAACGTGCATATCTCGCCAGTTATTTTTTCCCAGCAATGCTTTCCATTCCCGTCAAACTGTTGTTGCTCATAAAACAGCAATCTTGATATTGATAATTTATACAGTTGACAATTAGGTAGCTGCTTACACTTACGCTTTTATTATATTTATCTTGAGAGATTCAGTGACGGTCCTGGCAAATGACTGTGTTTCATGACCCATCTTCAATCTCCATGACAAAGTTATTTTTAAAAGGGTTGAACAAAATTAAGTATGACTGGAGCGTCCCAAATGCGGCGTGCTTGGTTTGGGTGCTTGTGCTGGGATGTGAATGAGAGACCATGTCATGTTGCTGGGTAGGCTTACAGTG